ATTTTTGTGTATAGTTCACGTTGCATTTTGCTTAAACCAATGTATATTTGGATCTCCTTTTTTGGCGGGAGTTTCTTCTCGACATCTGCTTTGATACGTCGAAGAAGGAACGGCTTTAGCACCTACAAACCGATTGATCGGGGTAAACAAAAATCGAAACTCGCATAGGACCTACCGAATGCAGTCGCTGAATTAAGTTCTGTTCTTGTTCACTGTTGGTTTTGAACATATCGTCAAACAATTCAGAGGAGGCAAACAAATCAGGCATTAGGAAATTCAACAGAGCCCATAATTCATGAAGATTGTTTTGCAACGGGGTCCCAGTAATCAGAAGGCGATTCTGAGAACGGAACTGACGTACAATATCGGACAACTTAGATTTCTCGTTCTTGATACGATGCGCCTCATCAATCACAAGATAGACGTAGTTAAACTTGCGCAAGACAGCCTTCTCGCGGATACAGATTTCATAACTCGTGACCAAGATGTCCCACTCTTTTCCCATGATTTCGTCACGAATTATTTGATTCTGGAAGATACAGGAAAGTGATGCTCATTGAAAAGAAAAGCGCATCTCAACTTACCCGTTCTTCTTGCATTCCAATAAGGGCAACAGGTCGTAATGTGGGAACCCAACGTTTAATTTCATTCATCCAGTTTGCCAAGGTAGATTTGGGAACAATAATCAGACTGGGACCACCCTTATGTCGACAGTGTTTCATGTAACCGAGCATGGAAATTGTCTGAAGTGTCTTCCCCAAGCCCATTTCATCAGCCAAGATTCCATTGATATTATCGTGGTGCAACTGAATCATCCAGTTCAACCCACGAACCTGATAGTCACGCATTTCACCACCCTTGACAACTAATCGGGAAAAAAACAAAAATCAAAAGGCAATAGAATGGCACTTACAGAATGGAGAGGACTCAAACCGTTGAACAGCAGAAGGACCATGTTTGGTCTCCGAGAGCAATTCCTCATCTTCTTCACGTTCCGTTCGCCGATGCCGATGACTACACAACGGAGGACGATGTGAGGAACAAATAAGGAACTTACTCTCCTCCTTGATCTTGTGTCGGAGACTGTACCAGTAATTCTGGTGCTGCCTTCAGAGGACTGGTGAGACTTTTTGCAATCGCTCCACCGGCTAGTTTGATCTTGCTGTACAGTTCAGCCTTGGCTATAAGATCTTCCAACTGCACAGCTGCGGGCTAGAATTAAAAAAATGGCGTTTAGTGAAACAGAAAAAAGGCGTTGTCATTGATTTCCCTATTCTTTGTAAACCACGTTTCTTCATTTTCCCCGCTTGTAAACAGCTCCCTTTTTTCTCATTTCTAATTTGGTTGCGTTGGTACTATGCTTGTTCTCAAGCTGGTTAAATGTATATATATATGATTTAAACTTGCCAGAAGTACGGCACCCATCCGATACAGAGCAAGAGAACAAGTGTTCATATGACGTTTTTTCCATCGTAGATGAAAAACCAACAGGTGTGAAGATTTTTCCGCTGTTACCTATTCGATGTTAGGCGCTTTTTCACACCCAAGCATCTAATTTTATACGAAGCTCGGATCCGCCCGATGTTCGAATAATGCGTTCACATATGGCGCGGAGCTTTGAATTCCGCTCTTTTTCTTCTCGATTGTGTTCAATGTAAGACCATCCGGCTCATCGACGAACCGTCTTTAACTTCCAATCTGAAGTTGCTTTCCCATTGTCGGACAGCTGCTTCGTTATCTCTTTTCTATCGTTACTATTTTGGTTTCTACTCTTCGGAACTCGTTTTAGCGGTTCCTTGCCTTTGTCCTTTTCTCGCCCATCTCGCTCTCAGACGGGCAGTNCATCGGACTCCTATCTTCCAGTCCTCTTCTTCCCTAGGATTGGCAAAATGTGGAACACTTTACACATCTCCGTAGTTCCAAACAATCATCTTACTCTTTTAAGATCAGGACTAACAAATTATTTCTCACATGAATGTTCCCCACATACCTTCCCCCTCATGGTGCTGTGAATCACTTTGTGTGTAATAGAAAAGAGGAGGAGGACTAAATTTCACCCGGCTTCCAATTATTCCTCATATTTATTTTTCTTTTATAAAACATCATGTCGTGGCGGACGGCAGAAGGGATAAACCCTATAATCCCGAGGAGACAATATACACGTGAGATAAATGGTAATCGGAGTGTTCATATGCTGTTCGTAACTACGAAATTTTAGTTGCCTTTTTGCTTAAACAGACATACTTTGGGGTCAGAGGTAATATCAAAAGATAGTTGAATCCTAATAAATGGCATAGCAAACACGGTTGAAATCAAAAGATAACCTACACACGAAGTAATCAGGTAAACAATCTAACAACTAACGCGTGATGCTCTGAGCAACAAGGTAAAAAAATCAACATGGCCGGTCACCGAAGACGGAAAGGTTACGATCAATCAACGGAACAGATTTTTGAGATAGAATTCGACTACAGAAAACAATTGGTTGTCAGAAAATACAAAACAAACTAAGCCAGCAACGAATTCTCGCTAGGAGCTGATACCGAAGCTGCCCACCACGAAGAATGGGAGACGGTGACAGAGTTCAGACGTCGCACCTTGAGACTCAAAGCACACTAAAAGTGACTAGAACTACTTGACTATCACCAGAGCCGTTGGACAACAAAAGAGAACGAGTAAACCGGGAGTGAGGAATAGCATAACCTCTGTTGTTTCAATGGCAACACATTAGAATGTAAGCCAAGCGTATCTCGTTCCTGAGTTTGCAGGTTAACGTGGTTACCATTTGATACCTGAAGGGCTACATATTGCAACAAAACCCAGCAAAAAGTGTAATGCTGTGAAAATAGAACCATTCTATTTCCAAGTCAGTAAAAATTTGTATAACCATTTATTTCGCATCTCCATGTTCCATTTGTTGTGTTGTGGCAACCTATCCGGTCAACCAATAATGAAGAGAAGGTTGAAACAATGCTGGGAGAATTCTACCAACAGAAAAATATGAAAAAGATAAAGCCTGAGGGAAAATGGATCAAACATGGACGCTACTGCTTATGAAAAAGCAACCCTCACCCTCCTCTTTATTAACATAGCAGGTTTACTCCGACGATCACGACCCACATCACTCGGTGTTACAGATTTATGACAGATAGCCGTATTTCTGATTACCTCTCTCTCTCTTTAGTCGGCATTGAAAAAATCGTAACATACATAATATTTGGTTGACCTCTCTCCAAATTGACGAAACAAAAATCTGCTGATTGAAGAGTTAGGTAAATTCAGTGCACCTATACATCAGCGTTTTTATGGCACAATTGTGCGTTAAACAGCAAAAAAGCCAAGCTCCATTATCCATAATTTGGGATTCAGTTACCAGAACAGTGAATAAATCAGTTAAAGTGAGTGAAACGTGCTAGTAACATTTACATTACGTTTATTGGCTGTTAGCTACATCATATATAAAAAAGCCAAAAGTGTGATTTAAAAAGTTGAATTTCTGGTACTTACCTTTGCCGGCTCCGTTGTTTCTCCGTCAGACATGGTTATACTACTTTCCTGGTGATGAACGAATGCGGTCTCTAGAGATAGGGAAGAAAATTTGGGTCCATGATGGAAAATGCGAGAAACGACGGAAAATACGTACACAAATCTCCCTTTTTGTGAGCGATTGGGGCCATTTTTAATCCAAGAAAAGATACGATGAAATATTTTCTGTAACACTTATTTATGTTCTAGCCCCTAACTTTGCATATTGAAATGCAAAATCAAAAAGCGTACGTTGGCTGAAACTTGTGCCACGCGCGCAGTATCAGTTGTTTCCTCAACGTACGACGATTAGTCAGCATCATGATCATTGTACAGTGTAACACAGTGATCGCTGCGAAACTCATAATGCATATAAGGCAAGTGAAGATGTACAAGGACAGGGATTGGACCTATTTTTAGGGACGGGAAAAGAAAGCGAACCTCTATGGTCAACACAGAGTACACAGTNGTACACAGTCCAACTGTGCATACATACTATTTCAAGCATTCTGGTCTGATCAGAAGTGACAACAAGATCTCCACTGCTGTCGGTTTGCTGCCATGACCTTCAGTGTCTCCAACTATCCGGTTACGAAGTTTTGTGACCCCAACTCGGAAGACGAGACACCTACTCTACCTAACCGCTCTGTGCATTTCTCCATGCCTTGTTTCCATGTCGTCGGCTGGCCTCTATGTGGTTTTCTCCACTAATAACCGAAGTGCAGGCCTCGAGTTGCCCCAAGCTTCCCTCCATAATGTGCGTAAACGGATAACGAGCTAACTGAGATTTCTGCCGGTGACCGATGACTCGAGGCTTGAAGTGCATCCCAACTAGCGCATGTGGCCCAGCAGGATCTGCGATTTTGTACTGAACTACACCAAAGATAGCTTATTGCTGTATGGTCGATTACGGTCAACTTCCCGTTGAACTACAACACCATGTTGCCGTCCGAAAGTTGCTGCCAGGTAACAACATCCGGTGATCTGCACAGAACTGAAGTAGTCGATCACCGTTGCCTGTTCGATGTTCGGGAAGAGTGAAGTGCTCTCCGAGACAGGCTTTGGATACGCTCGGTTTTCCAACCTGTGCGTTGAAATCACCTGCCAGCATTATAAAAGCAGAGCTACGGCTAATCGGATGGGCTCGGTAAGTATATCGTAAAATTCGTCATTTTGTAAATCAAGACTGCAGTTGGTCGGTGCATCT